CCTTTTTGTAGAAGGATTTTGACGTGTTAGCTCCGTTCTTCAAAAAGCCTTACCGCCGGAGACGGAAATCCGTGAGGTAGGGTGAGGTGTGACAATTTTAGGGTCGACCTTTTCTAACCCCACCCCTCCTTGTGGGAAGGCAGCATCGCTGTCATGCTGGTTGTCTGAGGGAAACACCTTACTGCTGTCACATCTCTCTACAGTCAGCAGTACGACTTCGCCCTCAGACCTTGAGTTGCTGCTTTTAGTCTTACTGTTCACCAATCGACCTGCCTGGCATGGTAGAACCTACAGGAACATATGTTCCAGCCAATATAGCTCGGTTGGGTCATCACGATAGGCAAGCCCGACCACCGCGTCAAGGTAGCAGCTTCGGTCGGGACGAAGACACTAAATGAGGGATGACTTCACTATTGAATCCTGTCAAAAATATACCAGTCTAGTTTAGCAATAAGAAACTTCTCACTGTCAGTGACCATTTTTACAAACACAAGAGCCCAGTGAGTTTCAACACAAAACTGTGAGACGAGCTCATTGAAATCCAATTCAATCACATGAAAACATTTCGTACCTTGAGAACTGACTTAATCGATAATTCTACCATGATAAGCGAGAAAATGAATTCAACATGTGACAGTAAATCAACATTTCCGTACGTTATTTTGCCGACTGTCAATACTTTCCATTCTTTTGTATACTGGGTCATAATGGATAAAATAACTCGAATGAATTCACCTTTGTTTTGATATCATACTTAATTCCGTTTCATTAGTAGCAAAATTTAGGTCAGTTTGTCATTTCATAGAGATTCAATTCCTGTTTGTTAGGCTCTTAGGCACATTTCAACATAAAAGAAAAAATTAATTACCTATTCTACATTTTCGGTAGAACAGGATTTTGTATGACAAACTTTATCCTACTTGTAAACTATTTTCCTACATAACGTTTCTCATTATTCTTTTGCTGATGATTAAATTTTATGATATATTGAGTCAACCACTGTAGTGTTCAGATCCCATTTCACTAGCCTACATTTGAAATAAACCTAATCTGGCGATGATTCAAAGTCATAATTAGACTGATCAGGAACCCAAGGACAAGATATGCTTAGGTAAACAAATAGCTCGGATGCTAGTGTTGGAAGTATTTTATATCAAGCTGACTGTAGACTACCTAATAGGATTAACTTCATCAAAATTTAAGCCATTTATGTTACATCTTGAACTGCAGTTCATTACAAGACACAAACTCATACAGATTGAATCACGAGTCTGAGATGAATGTAAAGTTCAACTATTTCTGAGAACACTCCAAAACTTTCATACACATCCACACGCTTTCCTCAGCATTATCACTAGTCAATAAAACCTCTGAATCCTACTATTCAGGTCAACAGTTATTCAAGGCAAAAATGCAAGTTTGACTGAAGAATATTCAGCGTTTTGTCCACTCATTATATTGTTGTTCCAAATCGTGTAGCTCTAGTCGATTCAGCACAGTGATATTTCACTACGAAAATCCATATGTGGTAAATAGTATTGAAAGAAAGTACAAATTAAACTATCTTTCAATTTTATGCGGATTCTGATAATATTCAGCAGAACATTTTGTTTTATTACGGCTTCTTATGGTTTAGTGGGATGTCACGAACTTATGGTATAGAAGCTGATTTATCACGCAAAATACCTCTTTAAGTCGTGTTACGAACGTTGAATCGGTTTCACTTCCTACCCAGAAATCCTATTACAAGCAAACTAGATAATTCGCTAATATACGAAGCCTACTCAAGACCCTATAATAACTGGGGGGGGGAAATATTATAAAAAAAACGAAAGGGGCTCTAATAGCTTCGATAATAAAGGGAAGACAGCCAATTGTATATCACAATACTGTTTCTAGCACCATATTTTATTTTACAATCACACATAATCTTATACTCTCAGCTCTTTTCCGAATCGCCCCCATTTGTCAGTTGTATGTCCACTCACACCTTGTCAACACTTATTTTCTTTAACCTTTTAAAATGTTCTTTCTTAACATATGCCTTAAAGTAAAATTAGACTGAGTAATCATACCCTGAACATTCCTTCACGAATATTGGCTACTCTACCTCTGGTGTTTTCTTTTACTTGCTCCCTCTTTCAGCCCCTTGAGATATGGAACTGGTGACTTCATCCTGCACCATCCTTAAAGCCTTGGATATCCCAAAGGGACATAAGGTTGCGATTTCTAAAAGCTCATACCTTCAATGGACCTATCCTTGACATTAGTCGCACATTAGCAACGCAACTTTCATGAAGCGCGCCAACTCTGGTACTGATTAAAACAATCTATATTCATATCTTATAAATTATCAATCCAGCTATGTAATTTATTACACTGTATATTGTACAATTTGTATCAATTTGATCTTGCCTGTAAACTGGCATGCCTCATGTAACAAACTGTTATTTGAGAATAAATTATTATTATTATTGTTAAATCATTTTATAATAACAATCGTCAATCCATCTGAAATATTTAAGAAAGAAATTTGCACACAATTATCGCCAACCATCAAATCATTTATTTTTATTTTACTATCATGATCAGGACATGGATCTGCACCGTCAACCACACGCAGTAATTGTCATTGCGACATGTGTATATTTGAATGATATTATTCATCATTAACTAGTATATTATCGTACAGTCTCCATCGTATACTTTATTTATTGATGAAAAACTAGCATATGAATTCTTTAAACCATCGTGGATCCTGATTCAGTGATGTGGAAGTTCAGCGTTGGTGAGTGAGATTGAACGTCCTTGGTTCCAACATCGCTTTCTGAGTCATGGATTCATATTGAGTACCAATTCCATACAAAGTTGAAAAACGGCCATCCACAGATTCCATGTTGTCAATGGTGATTTCCGTAGAACGATCAATCTGTCCGGTCAACTATTGTTTGTACTGAACAGTAACTGTCATTTCTCGCTTGATCACTTCAAATATCAGTTTGAAAATCTGTCCTTTCAATTTCTCGGTGATGACAATTAAGTTAATGCTTATGGTCAACCAGATAAAATAAAGATATAGAGACTGAAGTGACAGTTGTGAATCTGGCGAGCGCACACATTAAACTAATCAGTTTCCATCATTACTGGAACTTGTTCATAAGCATTGTCTGCATCAAATCAATAGGCAAACACCAGAATTCAGTCACATCTTCAATATTCAGGTGTATGAGTTGTGCATTTTCTTCATCGATTTTGAAAGTCAAGTAATATTCGAAGAATCATTTCCTAACTACCATTCTTCTAGATCACAGATGATCAAACTGGAGTTGGTTTTGTGTAGTGCATAATACTACGGATTGATAACTTCGATTTGTCTGTTCTCATAAACATCACGATTCATTAGTAGCAACAAGTGAGTAATATTCAATCTATCATGATCGCCTAATGTAAAACCCATTCTGGTCTATAACATATGCTGAGCGAAAGTACCACAGAATTTGTACACTCATCTTTGTGATCATCTGATTTCACATAGATTGTGTAGGAACATAGAACTATCCACTAACAGAAAACAGTGAAATCATCAATCATTAGTCAATAAATCATTATGTCACATGAAATCTATGCTCAATGGTTCATGACCTATGTCAAGCACTATGAAGGCTAAAACGTTTCAAATCGAACAATCATGTCAACAACATTAGATATTTTAGTATTATCTTATATTTATAATCGAGATGAGGTACTTATTGTATAAGATTAACATGGATTTTATTTATGAGATACGTGATTTACTGAAATGTCTACATTTTCATTGATAATACAACGTGATGAAGTACCACTTATTCAGTACGTGCTTCACACATTGACCTTGTAGTAGTGTGTTTAGTTGGTTATGAGATCCAGTATACTCAAAATAATAATTCGATTGAATGTGGTTGTTTTCTGGTTACTTTTCTAGTACAAAGCCATAACGAACCTGAAATTACCACTTCATTCGATGTATACGTGTGTACAACCATGCTGGATTTCCATATCAAAGCAATTATCAGATCGTATATGATATAGTTAGTAATCAATATGTTCTTTTCCTTCTGAAGTAGATCTGACACATTATTATGAATTCTGTATGATATTGACTATCTTCTGGAGCACGTCGTTGTGCCGAAGAAGTTTCCACGATGAAGTTCAGTCCACGCTATCAAAAGATTTTTCGTAGTCAATGAAGTTGATGTAGAAAGACGAATTCCATTCAATCGTTTGTTCCACAATGATCCATAGAGTTGTGATTTCGGTCTGTACTTGATATATCCTTACAGATTCCTGCCTGTTGATCTCAAAGTTGAGCGTATCTGTCATACTACTGTACTCTTATTTCTGATAAGTTTCATGTTTCGGTTTAGTGATAATTTCAAAATAATTTGATCTGTGACAAGGAGAAGATTGAGATCATATACTTTAACTGATACAAATATTAAAACATATGGTCGATGTATTTGCAACAATTCACGTCTACTGAAAATACATGAAAACTCAGTATTTCTCATTTGGTTCGTGTATATCATCAACTATCGTCAGACTATCGTCAATCGGAATTTTTCTGATATTCATACTGACATCTCATCTGTTTTTTTATTGTTAACTGAATAGTTCAGAAGAGTGCACAACGTGGTCAAATATTGTGATTTATTGAACCAGTTGCTATTCTTGTGTCAAGACTTTGTATTGGATAATCTTGTACTGCGTAAAACTGAAGACAACAAGCTAATTTCTTCCCATCGTATCATCCCAATCTTTCATTATATGGGGATTTACTGTGAGAAAATGCGACTAAAATGCCCCAAGTTTCCACTGACCTGTAGAATCTCACTACATCCGATCAAGATTCCACAGACTATAATAGGAACTCCACAATACCACAAATTTCCTCATATGTGAGAGGTTCGCACATGTTTAGTGACAATTACAAAATGATTGAAACACTATGTAATATACAAAATCCCTTCATAGAAATGTTTTATTACAACAACATACATATGCAGCGATGATTGAAAATGACAATATAGTAATGGAAATATTTATGTAAGATAGTGATCAAAGTAATTCGGTTTATCAATCAAATGAATATGTGTCTGTCTGAATGTAACCATTCTGTAAACAATCGTAACAAGAATCAATTCTTCACAACAATTGTCAGTCCATCTCCAGTTCTTAAGAGAGAAATTCGAACAGAGTTATCTTTAGCTATCAAAGCATTCATTTCTCGTACACCAACAGTTTCAGGACTGTTATCATTCTCGTCAAGCACCCTCTCCCTCCGTAGAACCTGGTAAAAAAAATAGTGAGCACCGTAATCATGTATCTCATTCAAAAATGAGACATTTTTTTCAGTCACATGTAGTGACCTACTTTTATGAAGAGAACGCAATTGGTATAATGGAAACAACTTTTATTATAACCAACTGTACCAGTGATTGTTTCACTGTACTTGCTTGTTCAGGTTTACTAACAATATACATTCTTCCGTTTTCTGTGATTTTGTACGGGCTCGGTTACTCTCAGTAATCCCGCTTGTATACCACGAAATCGCCAACAAATACATCTCGACTACAGCCATTAACTGCCTTCTCATATTGGGACTAGTGGGGATCTAACCTAGTAACTGGCTCGTAAGCTTCCTGCAGTGGTGAGCACAGCCGACCGCGACCCAACACCACACTACACACATTTCGAATAACCTCAATCGAACCATAGAAGGTTCCTTTGATTTGGTGATTGGGTTCATCTAATTTATCGGACCAACGTTCATAAACCTTGTTCTCCCAAGTTTTATCAAACCAGACAAACAGATTTTAAGGATAGACAACCGAAAACATAAAAGCTTCGACTACAGTAGAAAGTTCTAAACAGGAAGTCAAAATCCCGCTGAAAGCTGATATCCAGAATAAAAATTAAGTGGATAAGAACAGCTGCTGATAAGCGTAGTAAGTCTTCTGTATTATGTAAATCAGCTGTCAAAATAAGAATTTAGCATAAATAGAGGTTCCAAGATAAATTATTCATACATATATGTGATAATCTTATTTTAAGCCATTCAGTTTGAAATATAGGGCTGTTATTCAGCAGAAAGTGTACAACTACAATCATTTATTATTATATTAATACTTCACACTTCATTGAATATGTGAAGCATTTCCCAGAGAATTTATGAAACCTAGAAGCATTTTCAAGGGCGAGATATTTCCAAACAGAAGATTCATTAATAGTCGTTAAAAGATCAATTCGACATGAAAACTGACTTCAAATGCATTGAGATACATAAAACATATGCTCGTAAATAAAACAAACTCACATTATCAATGGCGATGATTCCACGAGGTCGTACTAGTTTTAAACATAGTTCATAATAATTACTATAGTTTTCTTTATCAGCATCGATCAGGGCGAAATCGAATGTTTCACTCTCTCCATTATCAATCAAAGTTTCTGGTGGCACAACAGTTCAATTAAAATATATAAAGTTCAGTTACCAAATCAATGAATAGTTTAAGTCAAACCTGTTATCAAACTGAACGTACTTACATACACTCAACTGTTATCGAATACTAACTGAATAAATATATATGCCAGCACAGTGGTCTACAGTTTAATAATCCGTGCACGAGACTGAGAGTCCTGGGTTCAATTCCTTCATGGAGGAACGTGAGTACGCACTTCTGTGGAGTCTCATACTCCTTCCAGTTTTTCACTGATGGTCTAACATTCATCGATTCGTGATTGCAATCAAAATGAAATACTATTTTCATACCTCCAATCCACTTACACACAATACTTACATCTGTTTTCTTAACACACATTTCGTCACAAACGTTACATGTATCTGATACACACTGTAGCAGATATTTCCTTCAAATGTCATTAATATGACTGAATGATCTATTTGGTAAACAGTTTTTCGAGCAAACCATTGGACTCAATCACAGAGATTTAACCAATATATGCCTCCTCTTCAATGTCATGCATTATCACGGAACACAAATACTGTTCATCTATTCGTTCGAATTTAGACGGAAATTCTCATATAATTTGAAATGATTTCAAAAAGTGTAATGCAATCTAAACAAGACCTGATCATGGTGTCTAGTGTAAAAATATTAGCTTCTCGCATACATTATGTATATTATAGGAGGGAACTTTATCAATCATAGCAATAATGCACTTGTAACTAATGGACATACAGATTCAGTAAACTGGTCAGTATTTGTTAATAGTCTGTACAAGTGGTTAACTCAGACAATATTTAAACCAAAGGATATCGAAACCAACATCAATGAAATTTGTTTGCAGTTCAGTCCCTTGACATTTAAGTGATCTCGATCACTCCACTAATACTTCTTAATCTCTAGCTTACTTGTAGATTCCGTCCACATCAACCAACATTTCGTTATTTTCAACGATCTTAAACAGAAACGTAGCATGAATTCTTCATATACTATCTTTTTCCAAAATCAATCAGATAGTATTGCTGACACTAGAGAACACATCATTCACCTACGAAGAAAATGCTTATCTTCATGGATATTCCATGCTAAAACATTGACAGCACATTTGTATTTTGTTTTTCTTGAAAACAATATACCACACCATATGATCAGACTTACGTAGAGTATCAACAGCTGGACCGAGTCGAAAGTCAATTTTCGATTCTACACCTGCCTTCTTCCATACTGGTAAACAATAGTCTTTCAAATATTCATCTGTTATGTCCAAGGCTACTACACGTCCATCTGATGGCAATACTTCCGCCACAGACAATGAACTATATCCAGTATAAACTCCTACATTCATTTTAAAATAAATGGAAACATATCTGTTGATAACGACTAGTTGTTTAACTGATGTACATTGAACAATAAAAAAACAGTAAAATTATCACACTAAAGTCTTACTCACAGTGTCGCTTAACAAAACAGTCATTAGCTTAACAAATATATCTGAAACCAATTATTAATGAATCCAACAACCCAAAAATTTGTGAAATTCAAAAATCCCAGACATAATTGATTATCATTAGTAAGGTTTCTATTCATTTCATCAACCATATTCATAATCAACAGGCCTGTGATTTGGGAGAAAAGTTCACAGATTCTGGATTAATCTAATAATCCGGTATGCGAATGGACACGAAGTAGTTGTTTGTACATTCATTTCTTCTTGATACTTCGAAATTCGCATTCACTACACAATAGTATGCATTTGTACAGAGACAGGTTCATGCGCTACTCACTACTGCGTTACACGTTTCAGAATACTCGTTATTTGCTCCTGTAAATAATACAGTGTCTGATTTCTCACACTTTCACGTTAACAATCATTTCTCTCAAGAGATTGACTACGCTCATGTGGGACGACGCAAACATGTCGCATTCCACTACCAGTCATCATCCAACTCTACTTAGAACCAGTGACTCAATGACGATATTGATGCAATCTGTTAACAAAATGTTAAAACCAGACTGACCAATTACAACACTCAACATCAACAACGGCTAAATAAAAACTATTTCAAAATAAAATTCACAACCGTCGAACAAGCTACTGACTATTTGGAATCAATTCATCAGTGGATCACGTAATGATGCTTGAAATGAAAGGTACTAGCTTCGAATTACCATGCGAATACCAATAACACCATGCAAATTCATCCACCTGACCACTCTCAAATACAATGAGATCAGTGTTCCAGTTTCCACTTCCAGACAAATATGCAATTCAACCACGAATGTGTTGTTGATATATAGTATCAACATAGTTGCTTCAAGGTAATTCTCTCAGTCATTCGACTCTATCCGAATACACAACGATAATCAGTCAGTACTGGATGACTATATCCTTCTAGTTTTTGAACTCTCCTTTCTTCCATACATGATTCGTGCATTCACAAATTTCATAACCACTCTGAAATGTAATACTCACTGGAGTGAGACGAAAGATGGAATAGAGAATCCAATCTCCCTAATCGTCTTCAAATGGTAGAGATAATGAACAATATTCTACAAATAACAGACGGTTGATTTTAACGCTGACTCATTTAATGTCGCCGTAAACCATGAAACGAAGTTAGACATAGTAGCCACATTTTGTTTATAAAATTTCTACCTATATCTATCTATGCAGTTAATTTTTATGATTAGTTAAATACGACCTATTACATTTCAATTACTCCATGAAAGCTCAGAACTTGTTCGAGAAGCAATGAGGAACATAGAATGGATATATATATATATATATATATACTTGTAAACAAATCCACACAAACCTCGTACTTACCAATATCAATTGTCTTTCTAGCATTTATCGCATAACACAAATTTGATAGAAGTTGCATTTCTATGCTAGAGAAAAGCATAAATGACATTGGATCTTTCATAGTCTCCTACAATACATTTAAGGAAGATGATGATTGTGATGATTACTTGTAATAACCACTTTTGTGCTTCAGAAAGACGCAGTGAATGATCACATATATACTGATGAAGTTTGTCTGCGTATTTGGTACAACCATATCCGGTTACTGACTTGTCGTTGGTTATTGAACTCATTGGTATTATTAGCACTGAATATTTATTAATCAAATTAATATTCTAATAGTAGTGGTTTTGTATGAGAAACATGTTAAGTTATCCGACTATACATTTTACGCTTATGATTCAAATTTCATGCGTATCCAAATCCTTTCACGTTACATGAATCAATTAAATATTTACAATATGAACTTCTATTTCTTTTAAGAGAAATTACAAATCTCCTCTTCAAGACTGAGCATATGAAAAGATGATATGTACAAATGACATATGATACTTATATTTCACCCTGGTTACTGTATGAAGGGTTTATTTAGGTCAGAGTATATGATAATTTACTAATTATAATCAAAGAGAGGTTTTGAGGATCTCGAGAAGCGGAATCATGGATGTTCACTACTGAAGAGTCTTATGCTCAGATGAAACGGTCGTCTAATGCTTTCAGCTTTTCTTTGGTGATCTAGCTATAGTTAACTCATGAATTCAAATATTAAAATTTACTAACAAACTCACAGAAAATGATTCACATAATTGAAATCATATTAAACAACCTGTTGAACTAATTCTTCTTACTGTAAAGTAGTAAATTTAGTCTTAATAATTAATTTGCATACATGATGGTTTATTTAAATATTCCAGATTAGTATCCATATGATCGAGACGTTTACAATATAATGACTTCAGTTATTGCGTAATATTTTTGAATGATTAGCAAATATATATTTCATATTATTAGTACTTTGATAGGTCAATTACGCAACATAGATTGAAATAATTATATACATAGATACATAAATTTAATGAATTATATAACATATGATATTAGTTACTTTAGTGCTCTTCCATAAAAAGTGGTTATGATAATGAGTGCAATTTATATTCTATGCCATTTACTCAATAGATTATCAATGGGGTTAGTCGGAAAGTTTAATTGATTAATCTATCCATGTATGAAGTTATGTCGGAGAAAACTGCGGAACATGCACATTATTGTAATGACCTACTTTTATGAAGAGAACGCAATTGGTATAATGGAAATAACTTTTATTATAACCAATTGTATCAGTGATTGTTTCACTGTACTTGTTTGTTCAGGTTTTCTAACAATATACATTCTTCCGTCGTCTGTGACCTTGTACGAGCTCGGTTACTCTCAGTAATCCCGCTTGTATACTTTGGCACAATCTCAGTATTATTTAGATACCACGAAATCGCCAACAAATACATCTCGACTACAGCCATTAACTGCCTTCTCATACTGGGACTAGTGGGGATCTAACCTAGTAACTGGCACGCAGTATTCCTGCAGTGGTGAGCACAGCCGACTGCAACTCATCGCCACACTACATTATTATGACTCCGTTCTTAAACTGCGTAAATTTGTTGTATTTCTAAAAGGTAGAAAATGAACATAATTGAATCAGGAAGATAACAAAACGGAATATATAAAAAGCTTAAAAAAATAAAGATCGTTGTTGAGATAGTTATGACAATACTGAAGTAAAGACAGTTCCACTGTATGGAACTGAAACTTGGAGAACTACGAAAGCCATCATCCAGAAGATACAGGTGTTTATTAACGGTTGTATACGGAAAATACTTCCGATCCGTTGGCCAGATACTACCAGGAACAACCTGTTTTAGGAGAGGGAAAACCAGATTTCAGTGAAGGAAGAAATCTGAAAGAAGCACTGAAAGTGGACAGTACACACACTGAGAAAAGTACACAGCGGCGTCACAAGGGAAGTCCTCACTTGGAATCCTCAAAGCCGAAGGAAAAGGAGAAGTGCAACGAACATGTTACGCCGAGAAATGTAGACAGACATGTAAAGAATGAGCAAAAATTAGGTAGAACTAGAAAGGATGAACCAGGAATAAGTGGGTTGCAGAATGCTAGTCGGTGGCATTTGCTCTACTGGGAGTAACAGGAGCAAGTAAGCGAGTAAGAAGTGAATGAATCAATCGATCTATAAAGCCCTGCCACAGTACTCCGAATCTAATAGATGTCAAAAGATTTACTAATAAACAACTTGTTAAGTAAAAAATCATGAGTTTGATTTGATAGATTTTCAAATTGCATTTGCGTATTAAGTCTAGTGTTTCTGGAGATGCTGTTACAGAACGTGAGACCAAATGATAATGCCTGAATTTTGATTGACGACATTTTATTTGAAGAATGATTACATACATGCTTTTCAGGATCTTTTGGAAACTTTCTAATTACATCTTGCGTGTTGCAATGTTTCCAAGTGTTTACTTTAGATTTTTGTGACTTTTTCAGTAATATTAGTAACATAATCCTCAAATTGTTTACATTCGTTTAACTACAGTTCAAACAATATGCGACTCCTCAGAAATATTTTACGCTGCAGTTCAACTGGTCGACATTTATTAGCATAGATACAGTTGAGTGCATGATGTTTGAGTACTTTTGCATTAGGATGAATGTAGTTTCACCTTGGTGCCTTCCAGAGACGTTTAGGATGATCATTACTTTCGATGCAGTTTTCGAGAAATACAACTCACATTTCACTAACGCATGTTTGACGGTGTAACGTAGGAACCCATTTAGTTCTTTCCTTGTCATAAGCTCCTTACTTTTCTTTGTTGACAGGTAATTCCCATTTAAACATTGAAAACACGAAGTTCACCGAAAGGACCTCTTTTCAACCAAATTATTATCAAGATGCACAACCGTATATATATGAAAATGTTATACCTAAGTACTATTCCCGTAAGGAAATGCGAACAAGGTATAACCAAGATGATATAACAGAAGGATTATAAAACTGGATTACGTGATAGGATTAATAACAATAGACTTAATAAGTTAGTAACGAATTATGACATGAATGTAGTAAGATGATTGGTTCAGAATAATATGGATTCATTCTCATTAGCTGCTTACAACCTAAAATATTTGAAATTCGAAGTTATTATAAATATTGACATATTTGTACAACAGAGGGCGATGAAGGATGAATATATGCAACATAATGTAGCAAAGATTTCGTTCGAGTTAGTGAGGTCATAAAAGTTTTTGTTTCGAATATATAGAGTTTGGGCCTCGTCCTAGTAGACATTTTCATGGCTAACCGCGAAAGAACAAAAGTCAAAGGAGCGATTGATGAGATGATGTATTATTCGAGGTATGTTTATGATACATTCATCTTATGTAATAAGCAACAACAAACCACTCAGAGTGGTTTTGCAATCAATTCGCTGTGAATGTTTAGCATGTAAAAACACTTTAGTTCAAGGTTGTTTTCACAGTTTCGGAGGGGCTCAATAATTTCCGGCTCTGTCGATCATCTCTTAATGCGATTAGCCAGCCTGAGATCTACACGGACGTTTTTCAGATTTAGTCAGTAAGGATGACGCGCGCTATCTAAAAAGGACATTGGTATTGTTTCTCGTTAAATTAGTATACTGTTTTGATCGTAAATTACGTATCAAAACTAAGATTTACACTTTAATTGAATCTGTAGAACTTATGGTCTACTATGATATTAGTACTGCTCTAATAATAGACCTAATCCTAAATTTGTAGATTTGTCATGATATGACTGCCTAATCTATAAGATCTTACGTGGAAGTCACACCATCGACTACACCAACTCACTGTATCGTATCAATTACTAATACATGATGTGTAACAAGGTCAGGCTAGAGAAAGAACAATATATTTAATATGAAAAGAAGATATAAGGTAACATTCAGCAGAGACCACGCCTGCATGGCCGAGCCATGCCGTTCGATCAACTCTAGTCTATTCAATTCATTATTCGCGCCTTCTCTATCGTTAGGTATTTCTTCGCGTTAAATATTGAATACATATTTTCCGAGTAATCTTGTATTCAGCTTTGAGGATAGTGTGGTTATGGTCCAATGCCACTACAAATCTACTCCAGTTAAGGTGATATTTTACTGAGTTTTTTAGGCTTTTGTGTATTTATTACACTCGGAAGCATTCTTGGTCGTTATCAAAGTACTTTAGTTAAGGTTTGACATCTTGCTAGAGTTGTCTTGTGGTTCATACTGTGATCATATTGTGTGTTACACCTTGATCATACTAAAATGGTTGGTAGTACCCACAAATGTGGACAACCGAATTGCTTGTTCCCTGTGGAGGAGGGAATGCAGTGTGACGAATGCAATAAATGGTTCCACAAAATGTGCACCCGTTTAAGTCCCACTGCATATAAAAGATGTTCGAAGCCTAACTCACATTGGCTTTGCATGTTTTGCTGTGCCAACAAGGCAGTGCTAATACAGGAGGCTATGAGCCTATTGACTTTGGCCTGTAAGAAGAATGATGGCATATGTGCCGACAACACGGGCACTGACAGTGACAAATGTGTCAGTGTTGTTACGCAACGCCTCAAAAAACCGACTCTGAACGACGCAAAAGTGAAATCTCCGTTGATATTAACAGGGGGAGTAGTACCACCTAGTACTGACATTGTTAATCATGCACCTTTAGTGGGAACCGATGATCTGGATAAAACAGTCACCGTTCCAAATAGTCCCAGTGTTACTAGGGATAAAAAATGGACTACAGTACGTAGAAAACGAAATGAAAAGAAAAAAGCTGTAAGCAGTACACAGGTAGTTAGTAACTCAATGGTGGACTCAAATTGTGAGCCACAAGTTGCACTACCAAGATCTGATCGTAAGAGTGAAACCCATCCTGGCGTAACTGAGAAGAAAAATTTAATATAATCGAATATTATTGTGAGCAATTTGCGGGAGTCGAATGACCCTGATCCGAAAATTAGACACGCGCATGACTTAGAAAAACTAGGAGAATACATTCGTAGTATTTTACCAGATAACTCCAAAGGAGTTCAGGTTAAAAAGTTGGTAAGAATAGGCAAGAGGACCGAAGACACTGTTAAACCCTGTCCATTCAGACTCCTTAAGGTAATCCTAGGATCGGAGAAGCAACGGGATCTCTTGTTAATAGCGCTCGTTGTCACGACAATTCTGACATCCGAGTTAGACCTGACATATCTCTCGAAGATAGAATAAAAAGGAAGATAGCACTAGTTGAACTTGAAACCCGTCGGCAAAACGGCAAGGAAAATCTCCGGTTAGTGGGTTTTCCGATAGTCAGGTCTTGGAAGCGATAGGCTGTTCTACTTAGGAGTTTTATATGCCAACGCTCGTAGTCTACGAAATAAGTTCTATGAACTAGAAGCACTAGTGGACAGGGTAAAGCCACTCATAGTGGCAGTGACAGAAACTTGGTTAGTCGATGACTTAGACATTACTCCAGAATTATCCGGATATCACTGCATCAGGAGTGACAGACATAGATGTAGGAAAGGAGGCGGCGTCCTGTTATACATAGCTAATAGCATAAATATCCGCTCCTCTACTAGCGATTCCCATGATAGCGGTGTTTGTGAAGTCATTAACTGTAAGTTGGCTATCGGATGTAGTACATTTATGCTCGGTGTCTTCTATCGCAGCCCAATCTGCCTAGCTGATGACTTTGTTTTAGAGCACATTCATCTTTGGAGTGAAAATACCAGATGTTTGATAATAGGAGACTTTAACGCACCTGATATTAGTTAGACTGATATGACCACAGCAGGATC